CCTGTAACCTCAGCTACTCAGGAGGCTCAGGCAGGAGAATTGCTTGAACCCCCGAGGTGGAGGTTGCAGTGAACCAAGATCGCACCACTGCACTCCAGGCTAGGCAACAGAGCATGTCTACGTCTCAAAAAAAATCCAAATTCTTCACCACTCTTATAACATCCCCCATAATAGGCTGTCAGATCTGTCTTACACCACTTCTTCCCTACCCATTGTGCTCATCAGTGGGCTACCTGATTCTTGAGGGGTTTTTAGAAAGTTGTCAGGACATATCAAAACTGAATATTTAAAGGAATGCATAACTGCAGGACATAGTCTGTTTTCCATTGGGTGGTAACTCCACAGTTTTCAGAGAGCAACATCGATGATTATTATAACTTTTCTTAGATCCCTAAGCCTCTCCACCTGTTTTATCTCAATCCTTAAAACAACTGTAGTTAGGTATGGTGTGCTATTATTGTCATTGTTCAGGAAAGTGCAATGAAACCAATGCAGGTTTTAACTTACCCAAGATGATAATGATTAGTAAACTGCTAATCTAAGACTGGAACTAAAGTCTGTTGTGTTCTGGATAATTGATTTTTTCCTTCTGTTATTTTTTGGCAATAATTGGAGTTAGGACCAAAGTAACTCTATCTCTATAAACTTTTATCAGACTAGAACATTTCCAGAGATTAAATAAGGAGTTTCCTTTAAGAGCTACATGAACCAAATATATGATGCCAATGTTCTTCAATGTACAGACACTGCCTGGCCTACATAGGCAAAAGGTGGCCTGTTTTGTGCACCCGGGGACAAAGTTTTAAGGAATTTTATGCTGATGAATACTTGTACAGAGGCTTCCACGAAGGAATATGTAAGAATCAGAAAAAGTTGCCCATATTTCTTATTAAAAAGAAAAAATGAATTTTGTATTTAGCTCCTTAGGAATGTACTTGCATGGGGATTAATGGAGGCTTATCAACTGTGTATCCTCATACATTTCCACATAGCTGGAGACTCACTGCTTCAACACTCATGGCTCATTTCAGAAGAGCTGTAGCAAAAGGCAGGCAGGGAGGAAAGGGGTTTCAGGGGTTCACCATACAAAAGCTGGTTGACTTTTGTGCAAATGACTTGTACCTGCCTAAGTGCACATTTCCAAAGTAGACCCTGTTTCTGTTTGCTTTTATTAAAAAAGTGTATTTATCTGTATAAAAATCTGCCAAACCAAGTGCACACTAATGAGCAAAATGTCTACAGCCAGCCCTGTAGAAAAGCAAACTATTTACCACAGAAGCTGACAAAACTGCATCATAAATTCTTAGTGTAAATTGTGTTTTTTACTTTATCATGGAAAAACCTGAAACAAATGAAGAAATTTTAACATCATGTATATCAACTTCACAGTGGCTACAAGTCTGAGTCTCCGAAGTCAGTGACATGTGGAAAAATGGGCTTTGTAAGGATCTACTGGCAGCCCGTAAACTCTAAATGGGCTTTTGGGGAGTTCTGTAATTTTGAAGAACAGGGAAGACTTCCACCCTCCTCACTACAGAGAAAGGCAGAGAGGCCAGACGCAGGCCAGCTCCAGTGCATTCACAGAGGCAGCAGGCAAAGAGGGTGGGAGGCTGCGTGCAGGGAAGACAGAGGGGTCCAGGCTGGCAGTGCCCTCTTTGGTTATGGTGGGGAGGGGATGACGAAGGCAGGCCGGAGACTGTTGCTGCATTGGAAATCTTTGGTCTACAAGACTCTGACTTATTTCTCTCAGTATCTGCCTATTTCCTCTTTATTGGCAGGGCAGGAAGGCTGGCCAGGATGCTGTGATTGTTGGAGATCTCGAAAACTACCTCAGTGGCTCATGCTGAGCTAGTGCTAGCTGAAGGTCAGGTAGGGCAGCAGTCTCTCTCCAAGTCATATTAACTCACCACAACTTTTTCCTCAAGCCATATTTCACACTAGGCCATTCCACTATATTTTGGAGAGTGCATGGAACAATGGAAAACACATGCACTATAGAGTTTTGAACTTGAAGTCTAATTCAAACACGGAACTTGGGTACGGCACTCACGCTGTCTGAACCTTAGCTTTTAATCTGTAAAACTTTTGTTTCAGAGGTTTTGGTAAATATGAATTAACCATTAATAGAGTACATACTATGTGCCAGACACTGTCTGATGAGTACTGAGAGCCAGGATTCTCATAGAGTTTGCAGACTAGTAAGAAAGCTAGACATTAATTTTTAAAAATCATGCTAATGACTGTGTGATTGCATTGTGAGAGGGACCAGTGTCTATGGCTGTGCAGGCTGTGCACTGCACAGCTCCAAGGGGAGCCATTTATTTACATCGTACTCTGTGCAAAAGATGCTCTGTGAAGTCGTGCAGTGCAAAAACTGTACAGCAGTGCATGGTAGCCCATTCTGAGATGAGGACTCTGAAAGAAAGGAAACTGGATCTGTTAAATAATATGAAAAAAATAATTGATTTTGGCGGGTGAATTGGATAATTAAGTTAGACCTGCAATTTGCTTCCGCAAGGAAATGCTGCTTAAGCTGAAAAGGAAAATAAACAGTAGTTTAGTGCTTAGTGTTGGTCCAGACATAGTATAGAATCTAGAGTGCACTTTCATTATTATGTGTTCTTTCTCCTGAAAGCATCTCTCTTGGATCTTATTCCCCTGATACGGGGTCTCACTGGGTAGATTCCTGAGCAAGGCAGTCTCTAGAGCTAGGAAGGGACTGGACCAGGAAGCTGACTATGAGAGAAGAAACTCGCAGAATAAATCCACATTTTTGACATCAGGATGGATTCTGAGGTATGGTTGAGCTAAAGTTGGGATGTAGTGACTCTAGCTTGAGGTAGAGGCTGCAGGTAAGGGATGAAACACAACAAAGCCTGGTGATATTATTCCTGTTGTTAATGACACTTCCAGGCCTGGGTCAGCTCCTAGGGATGCTCTCAACCCAGGCTGTGGAAAGCAGGTTCAGGAAACTGACACTAAGATCTGCAGCCTGCCTGGCTCTCTCCACAGATTTCTGACGTAGGTCTTGGAGCAGGGAAAGGGGGCCAAGGCAGGAGGGGCTGAGGTATAGGAGGAGGAAGCTCTGCCATTGTGGTGAGGCTCACAGTGGGAACTGAGCTTCAAGGAGCAGAGTCTCATGGCTTGCACCTGCTGAGGTGACTTCACTTCCCTAAGGCTGGAATAAGGACTTTCACAGCTGGCTCCAGTCTGGTGAAGGACAGGTGTTTCATTCACCTCCCATTTTATAGCTCTGTGGGTTAGAGGCATGCCAGCCTCTCCTGAGTCAGGTCTTTGCTCATCTGTGACTTTGACCAATCCTGGGCAGACATCTCTGTTGGTCGCTCAGACTCACTCTCTAGCCTTCTCTACTCTGTGCTCCACGTGGAGAGGCTGGCCAGCATGGATGATGTCAGTGGGTTCCCTTGTTCTTTGTCTTGGCCAATGGGGTGACCCATGTAGGTGATTAGAAGGAAGAGACTGAGGTCGTAGTATGCAACTCCAGCCCTCACCCGAAAGGTCACCTCAGGCTGCCTTGTCCCTTGACCAGTGGTCACTGTTGCCTTCCAGGTGTCCAATTCTACTTGATTCCCTCTTTTTGGGTTTTGATGACTGCCTTCTTTCCAGCATTCCACCAGCCATGGGTTACTGCATTTTTAACCTGGGTTACTGTGGTTTCTTTCACCCACACTTTTTGAATTTGTCTTTTTGCAATAAATTCTCTCAAATAATCCCATTTTGAGAGTGCCATTTGCTTCCTGCTGAGAGTCTGACTGATAGAAACACCCTTCCACTTCTTTCCTTAATGTGAACTTCAACACATATTTCAGGTTCTAACTGAAATGCTGCCTGCCTTCTAGAGTACTTCCTACTGCCCCACCTCACCAACTACACGAGGTTACTTAGCCTGTACTTGGTCTTCCCACAACATGCCCCCTCTGTTATGGTTCATATCAGGTTTTATGGAATTATCTGTTGCATGTCTAGTTTACCTTTCCCTTCTCCCCACCAGGCTATGAGCTCTCCAAGTCAGGCATGGGTCCCACTCATCTTCCTGTCCCTAGTGTTTTGCTTGCTGCCTGCTCCTTCTGTGAGTTTGCTGAGGCCCAACCATGAGGAGCCGGCCAGAACCACTATGACTTTTTATCAGTTACATCATCTTTTTTGTTGGAGCTTGTGACAGTTAATACATATAGGGCTATGTGTGTTGGTTTTCCAGCCCTATTGGGAGTCTTGGCATAATGATATCCATGTAATCAGGGAGCCAGAGGAAGTGAGCTGATTTGATGAGACTTGGAAGAAAAATTATGCTTTGTAAACCCAATCAAGTCATGACATAACAACCACTGTGAATTAAAAATATGCTATGTAATATGCACATCTATTATGCATCAATAAAAAAGAAAAAATCTACATGCTAAAAGCTGTGTTCATCCCAGTAGGTTGCCATGACTTTCACATCAGAATTTTGAAATGTTCACAAAAGAAGAAACATGAGCAGAAACAAAATGCATTTGCTCTTATTTTGAGCCTCACATTGAATACCTGCTATTCCTTCACAAGGTTGGGCGATCATACCAGCTCAAGAAGTTACTGAATTTTCCCTTCCTTCCTCCTTCATTTTCTTTCTTTATCCTTCCTGGCAACAGATGTCTGCAGCCTAAAATGCCAAAGTTTTATAGTAAATAAAAATTTTCTTCGTGCTCAGAATTTTCTCATGGCAAGCAGATGTGTTTGAAATGAAGTGTGACTATTTAGATTTCTAAATAGTGATTTAATAATACAGAAAGTAACTTAACTTGGTTATAATTGAGAATGCAGAACTTAGATGATGCTTCATGGCATCAAAGGCTTCCAGGCAGAGGGGGCTGCTGTCCATGGTTCAGGGCCTCTTAGTCACCATCTCCTCCAATCAGCATGCACAGCGGAAATCCTGCTGGCGACAGCCCATGTCCTGGAGAACGCTGATGCCGCTCAGGTCAGTGTGTCTGGGGACTCAGAGTAATTGATCCAATAACAAGTTTCAGAGCCTCCAGAGCAGAGGCATGAGTATCTGCCATCTCTTTTCTCCTACAGAAGCGCAACAAATGTCTTCATTTATTCTCTCTGGGTGAGTCTTTGTGAATTCCACTCATCTTTCTTCTTTGAACTTTTTGATTAAAAATCCTGTCAGCAGAGCAATTTGATGTCCAAGGGAAGATGCTGTTTGTGAGGCATCTTTTTCCTTCTTCTTTTTTTTTTTTTTTTTAGTAGTTGAAGTAGAAGATCCTTTTATGCTTGAAAATCTTTCTATTACTTTTCCCACCATGAATGTAAAGTGGAAGCCGACAGAATGTGTTAACCTTTCTTTCCTGTGCAACTTTGCCTGCATTGTTCTGGGACTGTGCACACAGCTTTGGATTTCACAGGCACAAAAACATAGCTGCAGCTGGGTGCTCTAGGTGCAGAGGGGCAGGGATGCCAGGTGAGGGACAGCTTGTCTTCCTTGCCAGAAGGTGCCTGTCCTGCATGTGCTGATTGTAGGAACAGAAAAGTGACAGGGCCAAAAGTACTTTCAGAACTGCAGGCTAGAAAACAAATTCATGGCCCCTAAATCTCTTTTCCTAGCACTTGTTTCTTAGCCAACCCATGCCAAACTAATTTAAATATATGAATATTAATAATGGATTTGAAAGTTATTTACCATGCTAAACATGACGGGTAGAATGCATAATTACATCCTACAGAAGCTCAAGTCTAATGGAGGAGATATATACACACACCCACACACCAAGTAAGCACAGGGGGTGTTATGGAAGTGAAAAGGAGGGTCTCCCTGGTCTGGATCTGGCAGATGCTCCAGTGTAAACCACAGCCATTGACTCAGGGCTGCTGGGAGGACAAGGTCAATGTGCATACTCAGGTGGGTTGTCCTTTCGCTTTTCCTCAAGGTCTCAACAACTTGCCTTAGTAAACAGGCATTTAGTCAGTCCAGTGAGATTGTCCTCTGAGGCCGATAAAATGAAAAGCCTCCAGAAGCTTCTTAAGAAAGTATAATTTAAGGCAAATACTTTAAATGATGCTTTGAGTTAAGACAAATATCTTAAATGATGCATCTGAGCTTCAAGGAGGAGGCAGCGGCGTACACAGGCTGCTGGAAGGCAAGGACTGTGTTTTTTTCATATTCACAGAACCCAGGGCAATGCCTGGTAAAGTAAAAAAACTCAGCACATACTGCCAGCCTAATGAGTTGGGAGTGGAGTGATATGTGGCTCTGGCTGAGTAGCATTGGATCCGTCACTCTTCCCTTATCTTTGTTTCCTAAGAAATGAGGGGTCATATTTGAAAGATCTCTTTCTACTTTGATATTCTCTGAGTCAACCAAAATATACAAAGCATCCCCAACCCCTCCAAAAAAAAAATCCATCCTCTCAGAGAGAAAAGAGGCTGAGGGAGGCTGGCAGTACCCAGGAGGGAAAGGCCAGTTCTCTAGAGGGTATGTATAATATCAGCTCATAATGTAAACTGAAATTTTATAAGCTCAAAGGCCAATGCATTTTATAGTGTAGAATTTGTGGCTGATTGAACAATTTGAGATCAAATATTCAAGGTTGAAGATACATTTCCATTAAAGGGATCTACATCCCTGTGACATTCAACAGAACTTTTTTCAGTACTTGTTGTTTATGGAGTTATTTGGAACATTAAAACAGATGAAAAAGAAGAGTGGTAATCATACTGCTTCTTGGATTTGGAAGAAAACCAGAATTAGAGGCCTGAGGATAATTTATGAAATTTGTCATAGTTGATTCACAGATGTCAATGATGGCAATGGGATATTGCATCCCTCTTCCATCTAAGTATTGAACAGGTGAAATGCTTCTTAGCAATATGTGATTTATCTGGTAAAAAAAAAAAAAAGGACCGCACACTGTCACTTATTTTGTAATCATATCCATAGTTCAATATGAAGGACCGTTTGTTCAAACTGAAGATGTTGCAGGCTGAGTGGGGAGCCCAATGCTACTATACAACGTTTGTCCTCTGAATATCTTACCTAAAATTCAGCCTGGAATTTTCACTTGAATCTTATGCTGATATGTGAGGAGCTCTGAAAAAGAAAGAAGTCATGTCTCAGAGGAAATTTCTTTCTTTCTTTCTTTCTTTTTTTCTACATTCAGACATGAAAGGACAAGAATGTGAAGTTTTGTCACAAATTAGGTGATGAGTGTAGTGAGAAACAAGGCAGGTGGGGCAGCTGAACAAAGTAGAAATGCCACTAATTAGGAATTTTGCAGAGGTTGTACCAGAGAGTAATTGATATATGAGATGTAACCGTAAAAATATTTTGTTTGGGGACAGAAAACATCATTATTGTAGAGAGGGAGTTGGTGGATAAGGCAGGGAAGGGTTTAGAAAGAAATTGGAGTTCAGGATGTTAGTGACAGAGGAACAGGAAGTAGAAAATGAACCTTTACATGCATTGATTTGGAGCACAATAAAGAAGATGTTCAAAAAAAGCTGGACCTATGAGCTATACCCATCATACTCCATAGCAAATGCCACTACATGTTACGGACTCTACACACCCTTCCAACTGCCTCCAGCGTTGACCTCAGAATCCAGGGCAGGCTGAAGTGGAAATCAACTAGTTGCAGCTTCCAAGAGTGTGAGGTCAAGGTTTTGAATGAGCCATGCAGTACCTGTATACTTAGAAAAGTCATCTCTCAATATCCTTGTTTCGAAAGGGTTCAGAATTTTGAGCACTCTCAAATTCTTTAGGAAGAACTGGAAGAGTTGGCTGCTTATTGTTAATGATATTAATAAGTATATCATCTATCAGGTCCACCAATGTGAAATTGTCATCTGTGCAGATTCCACCTCACAAGATTCCCTTAAAAGCGTTGCAGTTTGCAGGCTGTAGCTCATTCTATGCTGGAAGATAGTGAGGTCTCCTGAAATTTTCTAAGATCTGCAGAACCCTCAAGTTAAATCCATTTCCATTTCAAGTGAATACTTAGGATGAGGGCAGTTGTAGTTCTCAAATCAGTTAGTCATTAGCTAAGCTATTGTGTATCTGGTAACTCCAAAGTCACTGATTTATTTTGGGAAATGAAAATAAAATGAACAAAAATACAAAAAATGAGACCAGAATTAGTTTCATAGGCTGCCAACCATAAAAGATACCATTCGAATTTATGAATAATGAATAGATGAGCTTTCACTTGGATTCAATTTACTTGGCTGCTAGGGACCAAATTCCCTACAAAACAAATAACCATTAACTTACGTGCTGGTCACTTCTTAGGATACATTGAGAAATACGGCAGGAACACTAGATGGTGTCAGAAATCATTTTTAGTGTGAAAGGAGTCTACTTCATTACTTTTTGAGTTTCTTACCCTTATAAAAAGCCTTCAAGTCTAGAGAAATGCTGAAAATCCTCCCAAAGGAGAACATTCAAATCAGCTAAATTAATACCTGGGCAAGAAAGTCTCCTTGTCTAATTCCTAACACTGATTCTACCCAGGGCTAGAAGGAAAATAGTGTGGATTAGGGAGTCAGAGACTGGTTCTGGTGATGTCGTATAATAGCTATTAAATCTTAGGCAAGTCTTCAAGTCCTTTTTTGTCACTGGCAATTTCATAAAAGCTACTTATAGAATTGTTTTGAAAATTAAATAAATGAATATAGAGGGATATCATTAAACCATAGACTATGAGTATTTTTAGGTCTAAATTTATTTCTTTTACATATTTAGGCTGCTGCTATTAAAATGGAAAGGTACAAACACATTTTCTGCAAATAAGGTATTACGACTGCATGTTTGTATCCCCTGAAGTTCCTGCATTGAAATCCTCACCCTCGAGGTGATGCTATAAGGAAGAGGAACCTTTGGGAGTTGATTAGGTTATGAGAGAGTGTAGAGCCTTCATGAATGCAATTAGTGCCCTGATTAAAGAGGCCCAGAGAGCTCTCTTGATTTTTTTCCCACCTGTAGGAATACAATGAGAAGTCAGCAGTCTGCAACCCGACAGAAGATCCTCACCAGAACCTGACCATGCTGGTACCCTGGTCTTGGACTTCTAGCCTGAATAACTCTGAGAAATAAATTTCTGTTGTTTATATGCCACCCAGTTTATGATACTTTGCTGTAACAGTCTGAATTGACTAAGAACATAGGAATGACTGGGTATATCAGGGTATTGCTTTGACAAAAAAGTTTTTTGGAAAGAGCATGCATTTTATAGGGGAATATAGATTTCCTTATTTAAAAATTGCACCAAATGAATAAATAGAAATCATTACCCACCATTTTTTTTTCTCTTTCCTTGAATGTGAGGGAGAGTAGGATGATGTAAATTGTCAGCAGACAAGGTCTTTACCATAAATATTCCTCCTGGGTCAGGCCTTTGTGATTATCAGAATTCAGGGAGCATAACATGAACCTGAAAGGGAAAATCTACTGGCATTGGCAGACTTCGTGCTTCAGTTTGTACTCCAGCCTATAAACTCAGATTTGTAAAGAAGTGATGTGGTTTGGCGGTGTGCCCACCCAAATCTCATCTTGAATTGTAGTTCCCATAATTCCCATGTGTCTTGGGAGGGATGAGGTAAAGATAAATGAATCATGGGGGTAGTTTCCTCCAACTTGTTCTTGTGATAATGAGTTAATTCTCACAAGATCTGATGGTTTTATAAAACCTTATATTTTATAAGTGTTCCTTCACTGGGCGCTCATTCTTCTTGCTGCTGCCATGTGATGCAGGATGTGTTTGCTTCCCCTTCCACCATGATTGTAAGTTTCCTGAGGCCTCCCCAGCCATGCTGAACTGTGAGACAATTAAACCTCTTTCCTTTATAAATTACCCAGTCTCAGGTATGTCTTTATTTGCAATGTAAGAATGGATTAATACAAAAAGTATATTTTTACATTTGAAAATTTGAACAGCACTTGAAATTATTATACTTTATTCTACATAATTGTTTTCCTTTTATTTGGAAGACAGACCATTTTGAAGATAATGAATGGT